TCTGTGGGGTGCAGGCCACGTAGCGTAAGCAACGTGTTAGAAGCAGCGTGGTGCACGCCATGCGTGGTGCGAGCTACGTGGTGCGCGCTGTGTGACGTGCTGTCGGAACTCTCTGCTCAGCGTGTCGCCGCGGCGGCACGGGCGACACGCTGTGCCCTGCCAGCGGCTAGCGCGTCGCTCCGCTCCGCTGGGCGGGGAGCTCGGGAAGGCTTGGGACGTTGATGAAGGGGCCCTGGGACACACAAATAAATACACACAAATAAAAGGATCCCCCATATTTTCCCATACTTCCTGGGTTTTTGTCTTCCCCCCCACTTCCCATATTTTCCAATATTTTCTGGGGAATCGACGATTAATTGTGTCTGTGTGTTTTTTCCCCTCCTGAGTTGAAGCCTGGGAGTCTGAAGCGGAGAGCGTGTCGCACCGGAGCGTGGTGGGCCAAGACTGGCAAACGGACGCGCTGTCCAAAAGTTCCCGGCCGTGAGCTATACAGTGAAAGCTATGAGGTGCAAGCTCATTGGAATACAGTCGGGGCGTTGACCTAAGGAACCCTCAATAAGGAACGAGGCCTCTATTTTCCATAAGTTAAACTTTGATTTCACATCGAAAACCCAAGGAAAACCTAAGGCAAGCTGCGAAACTATCAAGGAACACGGAGCCCCTCCCCAACGAAAAGGGTTCCTTCTTCAGGGCCCCGACTGTAAGCTCTGAAGTGCGAGAACGGTGGCGCGAGCTTCCGTAGGAGCCCGACCACAAGAAACCCTCCACGAGAAACCCAACCCCTGGAACCCCAGGCAGTCCACGGACCTCTTTTAAGTGCGGAAGCATCACGCGTTCCATCGCAAAACAATGAGAATTCAAGAAAACCAGCCCTGGAACCCCAGGAAGTCCACGGACTTTTGAGTGCGGAAGCGTCACGCGCTCCATCGCAAGACAATGGGAGTTCAAGGAACCCGGGGCACCCCAGGCCGACCAGCCATAACTGGGGGAGCTGTGGTCCTTACCCCCCTGGAGGAACCCATCGCATCGACGATCTCTCGAGAGGGGTGTTGAAATCGATGGGTCCCCCAGGGGGGGAAGGACCACAGCTCCCCCAGTTGTGACTGGCCTGCCAGAGGCAAGAGAGGTGTTTTCTTTGGGCATGGGCCTCCACAGTATGCAATATGAGGCGCCCGCGAACGCGGCGCCCTGGAGTCCTCCTAGATGGGGTCGGAGTAGATGGGGTCGGTGGATCGCGCCGCATCGGCGATGCATCGGCGATGCATCGACGATGCATCGGCGATGCACTGGGAATGCATCGACGACGTCGGCGATGCAATGGCGACGTAGACGTGAAGCACATCGGGCCCCGCATCGAGACGCATCGTCGATACATCGGCGATGCGGCGCGATCCTCCGACCCCATCTACTCCGACCCCATCTAGGAGGCCTAGGCGCCCACGGCCGCGCACCCCGGGCGAGACCTCGACACGCCCAGCCGGCGCCCCGGGGCGCCCGCGAGGCGCCCCCCGGGCGAAGCCTCAAAAGGCACCCAGCCGACGCACGCGCGCGCGCCCACGAGGCGCCCACGGCCGCTCGCCGGGCGGAGCCCGGCCACGGCCATCACCGTCGTCGGCGGCGGCGGCGTCGTCGTATCGTCGGCGTCGGCGTCGTTGTCGTGGTCGCCGAAGATCGCGAGGGGGGGTCACCGTCGTCGTCGGCGGCGGCGTCGTCGTGTCGTCTGCGTCGGCGTCCTTGTCGTTGCCGTCACCCATCGTCGTCGGCAGCGCGTCGAGCGCAAACACTGTGTGGAGAACGCGGTGCGAGAGCCGAGGGGGCGCGCCTCGGCTGAGAAAAAGAAGTTCGGCCGGGTGGCGGGGTCACGAACAAGCTCTCGTAACAAGAGAAGGTTCGCCGATTAAACACAAAGTGGGTGATGTGTGCCTTGTCGCTTTCGGTTCCCGATCGACGCCCGGCGTCTACACTTAGCCCAACTGGGTTCAAGTGGCGGTCCAAAGTCTCGCGGCTATATTGCCGCCGTCACCGCCCCGTCGTCGTATCGTCGCCACCTGTCGTTTGGGCCTGGGTGGCGGTCTGTCGACTATGTTGCCGCCGTCGCCGCCCAGTCGCCACTTCAAAGATTGGACAACGCAAATTGCATTGCATATCTTCTCCCTTCTTTAAAAGTATAGACTCTACCCCCCCCCCGCGTTATCACTCCCCCCGCGTCCTATGTAAATCACATATGACTTTGACCGCATGTCCATCCTAAATATGAAATCACAATGTCCCAGTCCAACCGGGTTCCCCCCTGAGGTTCCCTTGTAAAAAACACTATGCGGTGATATCTTTTGTTATAACATAACACTTGTTCGCGAATCCCTTGCAACAAATGAAACGAAGTGCACACGCGCGCGCCGTCGCGCGCGCATGCCGAAATCCTCCAAAAACCTTCGGTGTCGGGAGGATTTCGCAATCGAGTTTCCAAGAAACATACGACAACACAGGGTTTCGCAACACTGATTTGCTAAAAAAGCTTACGCGCGAGCTCTTGCGAAATCTTAAGAAAAACATAGGTTTTTCAAGATTTCCACAAACAAAAAAAAGCTACCAAACGGGCTTCGCGCGCGCGCATGTCGAAATCTGTCGAACGCCCTTGCGCGTGTGCCGTCGCGAGAATCCTCTGCAAAAAACAGGACGAAGTGCAGACGCGCGCGTCGTCGCGCGCGTATGCCGAAATCCTTCAAAACCCATCGGTGTCGGAAGGATGTCAAAATCACGCGCCCAAAAAACCTACAAAAACATCAGGTTTCGCAACACGGTTTTTCAACAAAAGCGTGCGCGCGCGCTCTTGCGTCGTCGTCGTCGTCGTCCTCCCTCCCCCGTCGTCGTCGTCGGCGTCGTCGTTCTTTGTCTTTCCTCGTCGTCGTCGTCTTGGCGTCGTCGTCGTTTCCGGCGTCGTTGTCGCCGTGGTCGTCGTTTCCTCTTCCCTCGACGTCGTCGTCCGTCGGCGTCTCGTCGTCGACCCTCCTATTTCGTCGCCGTCGTCGTCGTCGTCGTCGTCGTCGTCGTCGTCTTCCCTCCTCCCTCGTCGTTGTCGTCGTCGGCGTCGCCGTCCTCCCTCCTTCTTCGTCGTTCGCGTCGTCGCCGTCCTCCCTCCTCCCTCGTCGTCGTCGTCGGCGTCGTCGTCGTCGTCGTCTTCGTTGGCGGCGTCGTTGTCGTCATCGTCGTCGTTATTTCGTCGTCGGCGTCGGCGTCGTCGTCGTCGTCGGCGTCGTCGTCGTCGTCGGCGTTGTCATCGTCGTCGTCGTCGTTGTCGTCGTCGTCGGTGCCGTCGTCGTCGTCGTCGTCGAAGTCATTGGAGACGTCGTCGGTGTCGTCGTAGTCGGTGTTGGCGGCGCCGTCGTTGTCGTTGTCGCTGTCGTCGTCGGCGTCGGCGTCGTGGCCAAGTGCCATGTGGTATCTACCGTCACGGTCTTGTCTTAAGAGGTCTTGCGACCAAGTTGCGGGTGGGAGGGTGGGATGTTTGCACGAGCAGTGGAGAGGACAGCTTCAAGACGGTCAAAGTGAGTTGCAAGACATAGATTGCACCGCGTATGTTGCGCAACATAGTTGGCACCACATGGGTTGCACTTCGTAGATTGCACTCCATATGATGCACCACATAAGTTGCATAACATGAATTGGTGCATGCAGATTGATACACAGATGTTGAACAACATATGTATATATACATACAGAAGCACCCGGTTGGGGGTCCATGCTGGCTAACACCGAATATCATATCGAACTGGCTTTCGACTCGCATCTCGATGTACGCATCGTCTGGAACTTAACCTGCAACGCTCCGCGCGTTGCGCACGGGGCAGCCCCCGGGACAACCGCGGGTGGGACAACCCGAGCGCACAAGTTCACGATCGGAGGGACACGTACTGCAAGCAGAGCGTGCCTCTGGCAGTGCAGGAAGAGAGAGCGGCCGGGCAAGATGTCCGACACCTCCACCTCTGGGGAAACGAAAGGGTACCGATACCGCTACTCCCCAGACCTCTCCCGGGGTGCGTTCTGACCAGAATTTCGAGGCGAATCCAGCGGTGGCGACGAGAGCCTCCCAGGAGGCCCAAAACAGGGGAAAACGGCCGAAGGTGGAGGTATGGGTACCTTTTCCTCCTCCGAACCTCTGTCTGGCGGGGCACTCTGCCTCCCCCCCCCGCAAGACCCAGGGCGGAGAGGGGACGGCGCCCAGCGCGGGGCCTTGCCGTCGCTCGGACGCCCACGTCCCGTGCATTTTTCGGTTTCGCGCGTGGTTTTTCTTGCCTTGTCCTCCTCCTCCTCCCCCTCCTCCTCCTCCTCCTCCTCCCCTCCTCTCCTCCCCCTCCCTCCCCCTCCTCTGCTCCTCCTCCCCCTCCTCCTCCTCCTCCTCCTCCTCCTCCTCCTCCTCCCCCTCCCCCTCCTCCTCCTCCCCCTCCTCCTCCCTCACTCTCCTTCCCCCCTCCCTCGCACGCATCCCTGGCCCCCGAAGCCCGACGGTCCCGTTCCGTGCATTGTTCGTTTCGTCCTTGCCCGACGGTCCAGGATGCTCCTCGATGGTCCTCGCCGAAAAAAATCGCACACATACCATCACATAATTAACACGAGTTACGAACACAAGCAAAGACATTCAAAGACATCCAAAGACATTCAAGACATTCCAAGACATCCAAAGACATTTCAAGACACGCATCACCTTCCTCACCTTCCGCGCAGGTCGGAAGGTCTGGAAGAATGAGATGGAGGGAAAGGAACCCGAGTTAGCCCTGACCCGAGTTACCCCTGATGATATGGGGCTCTGGACGCCCGAATTATCCGGGGTAACTCGGGTCCGGGATAACTCGGGTTCGGATTCCCGAAAAACGAACCCGAGTTAACCCTGACCCGAGTTACCCCTGATGATTCGGGGCTCTGATCGATGGTCCTCGCCGGAAAAAACATCGCACACGTCCGAGCGATGCCACGGGGGCGAGCCGCAGTTCCGGGGCGGCGGC